GTGGTTGGGGGGGGAAAGCTCTGGCCCCCAGCGCTGGAGGCCGAGGAAGCCGAAATAGACAGAGGACGCAGAGAGCTGGGCATCAGAGATGGCTCCTCCTTCCATGCCCAGGAGAACGGCACAGCCTGGGGGTGCGGGCGAGGGAGGGCAGAGTGGGGACATCAGCACCAAAGAGAGACAGTGACCAGGGAGCAAAACTGGAGGGTCATTTGCCTCTTGTCTGGGGACAGGGCAGGAGATGGAGGCCAGCACTAGGACCTGCCTGTCCCTCATGTGTTCCCGTCCTCAGCTTTCAGCCAAAACCACACTGTCCACCAGCCCCCCTCACAGCACAGAGGTCTGGCGGGGGAAAGGGCTGCTCTGAGGGCCTCCTACAGAGAAGACAGCATCTTCCCGGGCGTGGTCCCTGCATCAGGACCAGGCTGGCCGGGGTGCAGCTAAGGGGCAGCCGGCACACAGGCACCCACCGCTGCCCTCCACATCCCCTAAACCAGCTGGTGAGATCTCTCCTGGGCATACTGGTGACGGGGGACAGTGCAATGGGGAACAGGGAGGAAAGGGATTTCTGTACAGTTGGTGCCAGGGACTTACGGACATGGCAGGTCTTCCCCAAGAATGGAGAAGGACACTTGCAGGTGTAGTCGCTGTCCAGGTCCAGACAGGTGCCTCCATTTTTGCAAGGCTGGGAGTGGCACTCATTCTTGTCTAGGAGACAGAGGGGGGGTGGCTCAGGAGGTGACCCCAGAGCCAGTCCCAAGGAGGAGACACCTCATCCGGTGCAGCAGGAAGAAGGGAGAAGCATTCCCTGAGTAAGAACCACGGCACCATCCCTGCTGATACGGTGGCACAGGTTGAAGCTCTAACCCAAGGAGCCACCTAAGCTGTGTCCCTGCTGACTGCAGCCACATGGGTGCATGGGGACATGCAGCCACGGCAAGGCTGGGAGCCCGTGCGGAGCAGGCTGAGCCTCAAGGCACCCCTTGCCCCATTACTCCAGGCACCGTGTCCCCTCCGGAGATGCAGAGCAAGGCTCAGACACCGCCACGTCCCTGCACCATGGTCCTTCCCTCTGCCCTGCGAGGTCCAAAGCAGCCCACAGTCCCTGACAGAGGCCACTGCCCGAAGCAGCCACAGCTGCAAACAACCCCGGCGGTCTCCCCAGACCCCCGGGGGTCCCCAAGCCTTTAGCAGCAGAGCAGTCCCCCCCAGCCCCCCACCCTGCTGTACTCACTGTTCTGGCAGTGCACCCCATCATACCCCGCAGGGCACTTGCAGATGTAGTCGGTAAAGACGTCCCCCCGGTTTGGGACCAGCTGGCACTCGCCGTTGTTGTGGCAAGGATTGGGGTGGCAGGGGCCTGGGGCAGGGGAAAGGCAGGGAAATGGCTTTAGTATCAGCACAGGTGGAGAATAAGAGCATCCAGTGGGCTCTGGCTCCCCAAAGACATCGCATCCCCTCCAAGTGATGGAGGTCACTGCACCCCTGCTTGGATCTCCCCTCTACATGCTCATCAGCAGGGCTGGATCCCAGGACGAGACCCCAGGGCCAGTGCTGCAGGGCCACAACGAGACATGATGCCACACTGCAAGGGTCCTGGACCTCATGGAGCCCCCGTGATGGGGTCAGCACCTCACCTTTCTCCGTCTCATTGCAGTCAATCCCAACGTAGCCGTCGGGGCAGATGCAGAAGAAGGGGGTCTCATTAATCCCGGTCAGGCAGGTGCCCCCATTCTGACAGTGGTTCACATCACAGAAGTCACCTGGAAGCAAAGTCACGTGTCACTGCAAGCCATTCCTAAGGCAGGCATCCACCAGTGCCCTGCGGATGCACACGGAGGCATCCCGCAGGAACTGCTCCCCTGCGGATGCTGCGGGGAGGGAAGCATGCGGCAGGGGCCGGCAGGACCGGCTGCCGGATCCTGTGCGGGACTGCCGGTGTTCAAGAGCGATGGTTGAGACCAGGAGCATGAGAGAGCAGCCAGGACCTGCCCTGCGCTGGCACATTAAAAAAGGGGCTTAACAGAGCCTGTATGTCAAACCGAAGCCTAGGGGAAAACCAGCTCTTCGGTGCATCAAACGTTTCCAATGCTCAGCTGGGAAGTGGGTGGCCAGGCTGGGGTTCGCTTGGGCGTGAGAAGGACAGGATTATTCGAGGGAATTGGGCTGGTCCCATCATTGGGTTTTGCTAACAAAAGTTAGTACTCGTAAGACCAAAAAAAACTCATTGTGGCGCAGCCTGCACACCTCAGCTCCCAGATGCTGGAGACTGGCGAGGAGGGAGCACAGGGTTCCTCCCTGCATGATGCCTGCCAGAACTCCTTTCATTCCGAGCACTCTCCGAGCAGCTCCCACCAGGCAGCCCCAGCCCACAGGCAGGTCCCCCCCAGGCGGCTGGTGGGGCTGCACTGTCCTCCCTGTCTGTACATCCACCTCCAGCATCTCCCACAGTATTGGGTTTACGTGGTGAGGCAATGCTAGCTGGGGGACTGCAGGGGTGGCTTCTGCTAGAAGACACCAAGAGCTTTCCCCAGGTTGGGGACAGCCAGTCCCAGACAACTCCAAAAGAGACCCACTGCTGCCCGAAGCTGGGCCCACCACTGACGCTGGTGTGGCCTCTGTGATAATATATGTTAAGATAAGGTAAAAACAGCAGCCCTGCAGCTGTGGGAGAGGAGTGAGAAAAATGTGAGAGAAACAGCCCTGCAGACACCCTAGGCAGAGAATAAGGAGCAGGAAGAGGTGCTCCAGGCACTGGAGCAGATTCCTCTGCAGCCTGTGGAGAAGACCATGGTGAAGCAGATTGTCTCCCTGCAGCCCACGGAGGACTCCACGCCGGAGCAGTCTGTTCCTGATGGACTGTACCCCATGGGAAGGACCCACGCTGGAGCTTTTTCATCTTATTTTCTCCTCCCTGTCCTAGCTGAGGAGGGGGAGTGAGTAAGCAGCTGGCTGGGCACCTGGCAGCCAACCAAGGTCAACCCACTGCACCCATCAACCTTCTGCTCCCTACTGCAGTGCTGAATCAGGCTGCAAGAGCCAGGCTGAAATTCCTCACAGCCCTAATTTATTCTGCCCCAAGAGCTGCAAGACAGCACCACTCTCCATAAACCTAGACCAGATTCCCACAGATGTGGCTGAAAGTATCAATAACTCCTTGCCAAGCACTGGGACAGCACATCCCTTGATGCCAGGCTCTTTGCCATGGTGCAGGAGCCAGAGCAAGGGCTGAACTCAGGTAGAAACCCAGGAATAACCCCCCACTACCTGCAAGCCCTGGAGAAGGTGGAAGTTAATGAGCTGTGGGCTCGCTGCCCAGACCCACACCAAACAGCACAGCTCTCATTAGCCTAAGCTACTACTCAGTGAGCTCTCCTACTCATTAGTCTTTTAATAGTAGGGCTCCTTTGAGTTAATCCTACTCTTCCTGACACTCAGCATCTGTAGGGTATGCACTGGTGGCGGACAGGCCAGCGTTACGTGAAGGTTTCCGAAAAGATGCTGTAGCTCCCTTAACCCAGCCTCAGGAGGCAAAAAAACCTGGGCACCGGTTCAAGTCGCTGCCTGCGCTGCCCAGCCTGTTCTGCATGACCTCATGCTCCATCAATGCGCTGCCATGAGCTACAGCATGGGAGGAGAGAGCTCGTGCTGATACGTGGGGATGCCTTTGCCCCACGCCCCTCCGCAGGTCTCGGGCACATCCAGCTGCCCCATCCCGAGGATCTCTCCCGGCAGCCGGCCAAGGCCCTGCCGACAGAGCTGCTTCTGTTCAGCAGCGGGAGCCGGCTGCTTCCCCGAGCATGAAGCGCCAACGAACGTGTCCTCCCCAGCATCCACGCTGCCTCCAACGCAGGAGTCGCTGGGGTAGGACACAGAGGCAAAGGTGCAAGGGCTCCTCCCAGGGTCAGGACAGGAGCGGTCCCAGTTTTATACTTTAATTATCCCAAGTAACTGGACTCCCTTTTATCCCCTCCCAGGAATAATCCCTTACGTGGAGGGTCTTGCTAGCCAGCTCCCTGCCTAGCAGTGAGGCACACGGGTCACATTTTCCACTGTGGCAAGTAGTTTTGGATGCTCCTATTTCTCAGCTGTTTCAGGCCTGGTTTCGGAGCAGTTCAGCATCTCCATCGTCCCCACACACATTTTTCTCCGGTCAGGGACAGAGCTGTCATAGGCTGGACAGTCAGGAACCAAGGCAACAAAGACGAGCCACCGCTTTTGGAAATGTTTGCTTATATGAACCCACAGGCTGGCTGGAAGGCAAAAATAACATCCTCCGAAAACTGGGACGGCTAATCCCAGCAGGGCTGGGGGAGGCCAGGTCAAGCCTGTCTCGGGAGGGCAAAACGAGCACCTCTACACAGGGAGAGCGAGCACAAACAGGGCCTTCCTCACAGCACACCTTCCCACTGCTCTTTGTCCCTGGAGCCTGCTCGAGGGCTTTGCTCCCCTTTTCCCGGGTCTCGCCCATCCCTTTCGGGCTGACCCACTCCAGGCATGACCCAGAGGGTGACGATGGAGCCGCTTTTCCCCAGGGTTCCCCCGGCCAGGCCAGGCAGGCGCGCTGTGCCGGGCAGTCCCAGGGAGGCTGTTTACATCGCGGGCACGGTTATCTAAGCCCGAGAGCACGGGACAGCCCGGCTGAGCTATTCCTGGCGCGGGAGCAAGGACGGGGCTGTGGACCTGAGCCCTGGGGCTGTGCACCCGCTCCCTCGCCCCCCCTGCATCCCGCACATGGCAGCCCGGACCCTCTCACCCTGCAGCCCGG